TCTCAGGGTTCAGGTGCCACCAGGAATCCGTGGCTTTCCCCAAATTGGGAAAACTCCACAGGTTTTTTTGGTTTTAGGGTGAGAGAGTGAGGTGCGGCCGACCCCGAAACCTTCCCTGAGTGAGGGAACTGCATCTGACCCCAAAACTTTCCCTGACCAAAGTGTATCTGATCCCAAAACCTTCCATTACTGAGAAAAACATATCCGACCCCAAAACCTTCCCTGACCAAAGAATATCCGACCCCAAAACTTTCCCTGAGTGAGCAAAGTGTCTCCAGTGTCTCCGACCCCAAAACCTTCCCTGACCAAAGCATATCTGACCCCAAGACCTTCCCTGAGTGAGCAAACTGTATCTGACCCCAAAACCATCCCTGACCAAAGTGTATCCAACCCCAAAACATTCTCTGAGTGACCAGAGTGTCCCCGACCCTAAAACCTTCCCTGACCAAAGCCTATCCAGTGTCTGACCCCAAAACATTCTCTGAGTGACCAAAATTTCTCCAACCCCAAAACCTTCCCTGAGGGATCAAAGTGTATCTGACCCCAAAACCATCCCTGACCAAAGGAACCCTGACCCCAAAACCAACCCTGACCAAAGTGTATCCAACCCCAAAACATTCTCTGAGTATCCGGTGTCTCCAACCCCAAAACCTTCCCTGAGTGACCAAAATTTCTCCAACCCCAAAACCTTCTCGGAGTGACCAAAGCATATCCGACCCCAAAACCTTCCCTGAGTGACCAAAATTTCTCCAACCCCAAAACCTTCTCGGAGTGACCAAAGCGTATCCGATCCCAAAACCTTTCCTGACCGAGTGTATTTAACCCCAAACCCTTTCCGTTTCCCCGCCCCGCAGCCCCGTACCGTCCTCGCAGGGTCCGCTCTTGGCCACCTGGATGCTGGCCCGCTGCTGGCAGGCGGTGGCCCGCAGGTGACACGGGCTGGGGTAGGTGACACCGTCGGTGCCGCACACCGGGGCCGGGGGCTGGCGCTCGCAGCGGGGACACACGCAGCGCCCGTCCTCGCAGCGCCCGCCGAACGCGCACACCGAGCTGCCACACGACTCTGGGGACACAGGGGGACAGGGGGGACATGGTCAGAGGACCCCCAAAAAAACCCCAAATTCACCTGAGGGGCTCCCAAAATCATCCGAGGGACATGGGGGGACATGGTCAGAGGACTCCATAAAAAACCCAAATCCACCTGAGGGGCTCCCAAAATCACCCGAGGTGCTCCAGGGACACCCAAAAAAACCCCAAAATCACCCGAGGGGCTCCCAGGGTCACCCAAGGGACACGGGGGGACATGGGGGGACATGATCAGAGGACCCCAAAAAAAACCCCAAAATCACCCGAGAGGCTCCCAAAATCACCAAAGGGACATGGGGGGACATGGTCAGAGGACCCCAAAAAAAACCCCAAATCCACCTGAGGGGCTCTGAAAATCATCCAAGGGGCTCCAGGAACACCCGAGGTGCTCCAGGGACACTCAAAAAAACCCCAAAATCACCCGAGGGGCTCCCAGGGACACCCAAGGGACACGGGGGGGACATGGGGGGACATTGGGGGACA